CCTTCTGAGGCTCCCTGTCCTGCGTGACTGTACTGGTCGCCATAGTAGTCTTCCTGCCCTGGGTACTGCTGAGGGGGTCCTACATACACATACACACAACATACACACAAGTAGATTCAAGGTGTTGTTGGATTGGCTGTGTGAGGGGAAGAGTGGAGAGGATGGATTTCCTTGCCGCTAGTTCTCGTTAGAAAGCTTTCTTTTGGTCACTTGACTAGTTGTGTGATTGGAGGCTTTAGATTACATGTTTTGTCATCAAGATGTCTGTGAGCTGCAGAGGTGGAAATAGGGGAAATTGAGAAGAACAAGAGTAAGAAATGCAGGAGGGCGGGTTAGGAAAGGAGAAAGGCCAACGCTCACAACTTGCACACGTCACAGACACACTGAGGGGTATACCTTGCTGTGGGGGTCTGTAGGGCGGCATTGGCCTCTGCCCCATCACGTGGTTCCCTTGGTTGACCTGGGACATCATGCCCATTGGGTTCTGTTGGCCTTGGTAGTGCTGTGCACCACCGCCGGGAGGCATGTTATACTGCTGAGAGGGCGGCTGCTGGTGCATCATGGGGCCTGCGGCGCACGGACAAAGAGTCAAACGGTCAAACCGGACCAGGTGCCCGAAAACGTACGAGCAGTCTTCGGCTCATGCGTTGCTGCTGGATGATGAAGCCCCAATAAAGGCAAGTAGGTGAAACAGCACTAGAAATAAGTGGAAACCAACAAAATCAGTTGTTTTTACCTTGACTGGGCTGCATGTTCATGTTGGGCCGCGGCCCGTAGTTCCCCATGGGCTGGCCCTGGGTCATGTTCATTTGGCTCTGGGCTGGGATGCCCTGGGACGAAGGGACGGTGTGATTGTATCCGCCCATCGAGCCGTGGCTGCTGGGGGGCATATTCATAGAGCCACTGGGCATGTTTGGGGGCTGGTTGGGGCCCGGACCGGGACCTTGCATGGGCATGTGATTAGGCCCTGGAAAACAACACACACGATTCGTGACTTGACTTTAAAAACAATGATATCTAGTACAGAAACTTGTGTGCAACTTCCATCGCATTATCATATTTGGTAAAAAATTATCACCTTACTTTTCTTGCAGATACATTGTGTGTGTGAGAGAGATTAAAATATATATAAAAAATTATTAGAAAAAAGAAATTGTTTTTAGTGAAACACAAATGTAACGGATTGTTTGACCACAGGTGTGACGTACTCTTCTGCAAATGTGCAGCACCGATCCGGCAGGTAGTGGGAATGGGGCAACGAGCGGCCCGTGCCGTTAGTCCTGTGTTAAATGTGCCGATCCAAACTACGTTCAACTGTCATTTATAACCTGCACCTCTGTCCCACCACTGCATTCGAGTTGTCATCTTCTTTTTATATCCATCTTGCAATATTTATAGCTGAGCGATTCACAAAAAGCAACTGAATCTTTGATATTTGTGTGGGAACGATCTTTGGCGTAAGTATCCACCGTTTGCCACCTGTGACAAAGTTAAATCTGGGTGAAACACATTGAAATTACCATTGACTCAGACCAGAGCAACACGATTCTGTGACGCTACTGGGAAGTTACCAGGGAAAACAACCTTCAATAGAGCTATTATTTACTATTTGGTGATGTGGGAGCTACAAAGGCGAGATGATGCCCACCCTTGAGTCACCTAAAGCTTACAAGTAATACCATTATGTTATGAACGTATATTTACTGTTTAATTTCCCAGTAAACACCATGGCGCATAATGGTACAACTGAAGTGCAGCTGCCATGCCAGTAGAAAAAAAAGAGACCCTCCACTTGCAACATGTTCTGGTTTCTAATAAGATCCAAGAATTTACAATCCTTTACAGCAATTAGTTTATTTTTAGAATAAAACAATAAAACATCTGAAAACAAAAAAGACTGAAATAAATCCTGACTCTTATAAAAAAGATAAAAAGAAGGTCAAGTTCCAGACCACCAATGCAGGCAAATGGGTGACATCATCCTTCAGCGGTGCGACCGCCCTCACAGTTCGCTGGTGTTGCTAGGCAACCCAAGTGAGACAGGGACTGAGAGAGGAGCAGGGGAAAGGGGGGAAAAAAGGGGGAAACAAGGGTGGTTAGGTGAGGAGCGGGTCACTTACCAGGCATCTGACCATTCATCTGGTTCTGCATGTGGGGGGCTGGAGGGCCACCGCTGACCATTCCCTCAGACGGCATGTTGTGACCGTGAGGAGGCTGGGGGGGGGGTCCACTTTGGTTCATCCCACCAGGGCCCATGGGCATGTTTTGAGTGGGTAGCTGCAGACGCACGCCACAGACACAAAAACACACATCAGCGCACGAGAAACACATCTGACGCAAACGAAACCAAAGTAGATAAAAGCAAGATGTCTGTAAAAATACTAGGATACTAGATGTACCTTAAATAAGGATGCCAGCTGTTTCAAATATACTGTATTTAAAAAAAAGGACAATCCCTAGGCATGCAGTACAAAATAGTCATTGAAAGCAGTTAATCAACTGCTTTCAATGGTAAATGGACTGTACTTCTATAGCGCTTTTCTAGTCTTCCGACAACTCAAAGCGCTTTAACACTACATGACATCATTCACACACTGATGACATGAGAACCACACACAGAGACACATGCACATCAGTAACTGACATTCATACGCTGTAGTCGCAGCTACAGGAGCAATGTTGGGTTAAGTGTCTTGCTCAAGGACACAACGACAAGCGGGTTAGCAGAGCCTGGGATCGAACCAACAACCCTCTGATTGGAGGACGACCGTTCTCCCCACTCACCCACAGTCGCTCTCAATGAAGTTATAACAAATGCATCGCCAATGACTAAAAGTGTTTAACACATAGCATTATTATCCAATTCATCAATTCTAAACACTGCAGCTTTAAATTAACTTTTGCACATCTTCTCCGCAACATTTTGCACATTTCAGCACAAAGGGCCTTTTTCTGAAAAGGTTCAGCTATTTAATTTCAAAACAAATATATTTTACACTCGTCAAAGTATTAATTTCATTTTACTGTTGATTTTCTTTACATTTTGTAACTGTTGTGCTTTTAAAGTTCTTTGAGGAAATCACTAAATACAAAATGAATATGGTTTAAAGCAAATTACAAAAATGTACTTTTTACAAACATAACAAGTTCATACTGGCTTTGCACACATAGAGCAGTAGATTCTACAATAGTTCAACAAGTCACTTTGATACTAGGAACACGCCAGTGCATTCAACCTGCCAACCTGCAGACAGACTAGATTTGACAATAAAAGCAAAAACATGACATCACTTTATACTTAAATGCATTCAAACCTTTGACCAGAATCCTTACCAAAAGACTGTGTGGATATTGTTTAGGTGCTTTATCCGAGCAAACACCAAAAAGATTCGTTTTGGACGTGAACTACAACGTTACCTTATGATGCAGAGAGCTCACACTGTTACATTACAATCCATTCACTCAGACTCAGGACAAATACTCACAGCAGGGAGGAGAGGCTGCATGTTCTGATTGGAGTCTGCTATCGTGGCCAGGTACACCAAGTTTCTGTGCAGCATCTGTTGATACCTGTGCAGGTGGACGGTCGTCAATACAGGTTTTAAGTTCATTTGAGTCAACATAAAATGAACACAAGAGGGGGGGGGGGTTTCCATGACTTACTGTGAACATTCTGCCGTTTTGCCTTTACTTTGGAAGTCCATTATACACTGGATGAGCTGGTTGTTTTCGTCAAGTAACTGCAACAAGCAAATTAAGAGATTTGTCACGTGTTTATATTGTGCGTGAGTTCACACAATTTACAATCAGGGGCACGGGGCCGTTCTGTATGACCCCCCCTTTGGATTCCACGAGGTTATTCTGTCGTCATTTGAAAACGACGGGGAGAATGAGGCGGTTTACTAAAAGGACTGTGCGATTCTTCCTAACAAAAGACGAGTCTCGCTAGCTAACGTTAGCTGTCCCCCGCTAACAAAACGCAGGCCCTCATTCATTGGAAATATAATAAAGCGCTAGTCCGGTTAATCGAACGAAGACCCGTCGTTTACACGTGGCGTGCTGACTCCACAGACGTTCATATTCTCCGCGCTTTGACCCCGCACAACTGCCCCCGATCTATTCGCTGTTAGGCGGTTCTGCTACACACATTAGCTCCGCCGCTAGCACCGTCTGATACCATTGCCTCCATTCTGAGACGCGCTCAAATGAATTACCTTTTGTATTCCAGCGGGTGTTATATCACCCTTCCCGCGCTGCCTGTGAGGTGCAAACGCCACCGACATGGTGATACTCTAGGAAATTAAAGTGAACGTGAGCATAAAATTCAGAAGTAGCAAACACACTTCTCAAATCGGTAGAAGCAGTTTAGAATAGGATTCAATTCCATAATGCAGTGGTCCGTTCTAGGGGGAGGGTCTAAAACATTTATGAAAACGTGGTTGAGAATTTTCATTTTTAAATATTAGGGTGATACCTATTGTTAAAATAATTTTCTAATGTATTAAAATATTTTATCATGTTTTTTTCTATGGTTGAGAACCACAATCAATTGCCTTGATTGAATCCCGAGTTCCCCTATTTGGTCACACAGTGGAACAGTCTTGCTATGGACCAAAAAGCCACGGGAAATGGAATGCTCTACACTAAGGGGAACACAGGGGAACACGGTCAATCTATTGCTATGAAATAGTGCTTGTAATCCATATTATGCGGCAGCTATGCAATAATAGCTGATACACATATCCATTAATCCTAGTGGTTTGCGTTTGGGTCCCTAACTTTCAACTCTAATTCGTCATTAATTCAGTAGTGGAGTTAAAAATATGAATGACAACTTCATATTTTAAATGTAAACTATAAACACTTTTTTTCACAGAGTAAATCAAATAGTGAGCATTCTAATCAAATGTTAATTACAAATTTCTTGTGGCGAACGCGTGAACCCCAGTTTTGGTATCGTCCCAGTTCAGAGGTCATGCGCACGCGCTGTTTGCGACATAGCGAAACCTGCTATAGCTTTACAAATTGCTAACTAGCTGAATCATTTGTTGCAGGGCTCCCTTTTCTTGTGATTGTAACGTGATTTGTCTGGCAGTTCAATGGCGGCAAGATACGACAGAGCTATCACTGTCTTCTCTCCCGATGGTCATCTCTTCCAAGTGGAGTATGCACAAGAAGCTGTAAAGAAAGGTTCCACAGCGGTGAGTCGTAAAGTTAAAGCAATGCCTAAGCTAATGTTAGCACACGTCAGTTAGCTGACAAGCTTAGCTAGCGACTAGCATGTATACACTATACATTTTATATTTAGCTGATTTTGTTGAACAACACAGTCCCAGCTGGTTTGCTATTCTGTTATTTATTATTTTACTAATTCAAAAAACAGTAACAGTTAAGCTAGCCTGAAACACGGACGATGAAATATTATCATCACTAGCAAGCATTTTGTCGCTGTGTCACTCTCACAACAGTTTCAGTTTCACTAAGGTACGAACTTAAGCTTCGCTCACTCTAACAACATTAATTGTTGGATTAGATGCAAACCATCACAATACTCTCTTTTTTTTATGTCCTAAATTGAAAGGGGCACCAATGGGCGTTATTAAGGTCATTATTATGACTTGAGTTCTTGAAACCCTCAGTTTGTCAACGTTAACTAACTTGGGTCATTCGATTTTTAGAGTCTGGGGATGTGATCAGTACTTCTCACTATGTCAACTGGCTATAAGTGTAACTAACATTATATCAACCACAGGAAGTCCCTTGGAGGGAAATGTTCCGTGATGCCAAAGTTGTGGAATTCATTTGAGGCTTTCTTTCTTTGCAGGTGGGAATCCGAGGTAAAGACATCGTGGTCCTCGGAGTTGAGAAGAAGTCTGTGGCCAAGTTGCAGGAGGAGAGGACCGTCCGTAAGATATGCGCCCTGGACGAGCACGTCTGCATGGCCTTTGCAGGTACCTCCTCAAACAACAAAAAACGTTTTCATTAACTGAATACATTCATCATGAAACAGCACATAGTGGCGTACGTATTTGACCTTTTTATATTTGCATCACTCTTTGACATCTATAAATCCTTTTTCAGGTCTGACTGCAGATGCCCGTATTGTGATAAACAGAGCTCGGGTTGAGTGCCAGAGCCACAGGCTAACTGTTGAGGATCCAGTCACAGTGGAGTACATCACGCGCTACATCGCCACGCTGAAACAGGTACCCGACCGTCTGATCCGTAGCCTGTTGTTTACCGTCCAGATTTCATATTCATTGGGCAAGGAGGAGAACCAATGCTTAGAAGTTGACTTACTATGCTTTAATAAACCTGGCTTATTTATATGAGGGTTTCTACGAATGATCACTCACACCTGCCTGTACCGTGGTCGTGTCATTCGTAGCGCTACACTCAAAGCAATGGTCGCAGGCCATTCGGCATCTCTGCGTTAATTGTTGGCTTCGACGATGATGGAACTCCAAGACTGTATCAGACGGACCCTTCAGGGACCTACCATGCCTGGAAGGTCAGTGAGTCTGCTCTTTGTACATTTTCTTGTTGGCTTGTACAGCGAGTGCCACGTCTGTATGAATTTGGTCACTCATACCTGTTTGTCTGATTTCTTGGGTGGTCTGAAACAGGCAAACGCAATCGGCCGTAGCGCAAAAACTGTGAGAGAGTTTCTGGAGAAGAATTACACAGATGAAGCTATCGCTGGAGACAATGAGGCAATCAAGTTGGCTATCAAAGCTTTGCTTGAGGTAAAGTCAAATTTTGTTTTTAATATGCACACTTTCTGTAGCGGTGGGTTATCATGTTGTGAAACATTCTAGTATGTGTGTATATATACATACTAGAATGTGAAAAATACTATTAAATGCCAGGGAAGGTACATACATCAGGTCAGAAGGAGCCAGGCATACATTTTAATACTTTGACTTCATCAAAGAGCCACTTTTACCCTTTATATGTATTGTCGCTTTGGTATTTTTTAGGATTACACTATTTGATGACTTTCTTTCTGTATTTAAATACATGTTTAAGACTCCATACAAATGTATAAATTTATATACACACTTATGTCTTCTCACAGGTTGTCCAGTCAGGAGGCAAAAATATTGAACTTGCTGTCATCAGACGGAATCAGCCATTGAAGGTAACTTCTCGCACATTATCAGCTTTTTGCGTGGTTTGAAAAAAAAAAAATCTGTAATGGGTGATAATTGATCCTCTGCCACTTTTCAGATTTTGGAATCTAAGGAAATTGAGACCCTGGTGGCTGAGATCGAGAAGGAAAAGGAAGAAGAGGCAGAGAAGAAAAAGCAGAAAAAATCCACTTGAAGCAGTTAACATTTTTTTTCATTATTGCACTTGAATGACAATAGCATATTTGGGTTCTTCTCCCCAATTTCCTTTTCAAAACCTAAATCCTAACCTGAGATCCATTGATGTTGTTCAAGTCTTTGCATTTGTTTGAGTGGTGCTGTGCCACCTGCAAAGAATATCAAGTTCCTGTACTTCCATCTGTTAAGTGGACTGGTATAAAAAGTTCATACATAGATCTCAAACTAGGATTACGACATTAAACTACGCTTACAAAATGTTTTTATATCATACACCAAACAGCGCTGATGGACCTGATATAGCGAACCCATTTGTAACATTCAGAAACCTAATGAATCTAAATGCTCAATAAAAGTGGACTTGTTTGTAATATGTTTTCGTAAGAGGTTTAAAGCCAATGTCTCTGCTACATAGCGAAGCAGCAAGTGAGTAGGTGATGTTGTCTGAACTGGTGGTTTCTGTAAGAGGAGAGTATAGGTACTTCCTGGAAAGCAGAGGAACGGGGCTCACCTCTTCATCGATTATCCTGCTGCGAAGCAAGTACTGCGCTAAAGACACCTACAGTTTAAAATGCCACCAGCGGCAGGGGAGCACTTCTCATTTATCAGCATGCTGTCGCACAGACCTGGAAACGGGGAGGAAAAGAAAAGCTTGGATTGCTGTGTAAAGTGTTCACCTCTCCCTCAGTCATTTAAAACAAATTAGTGATGAGCAAATTAAGTGTAATGGCGGCCCAATGAGACCCCCCTTTCCCACTTTTTTTTCTTCTTCTTTTTCCCCACCCTAAACTCGCTTATCAAGCAACCACTGCTCTGAATTCTCAACGACACAATTATGGCCGGCGGTGTGGTTGGGCTGCTTAATGGGATCCTGGCCTCAGACCCCGGTGGGAACTTTCAGTGACTTTAATCTGGAGCCCTTTGAAAAGTTGTACCGCGCTGAAGAGCCCCGGGAGTTCCCTCCGACTCTCACCAAAGACATAATGGTGAATGGTAAAGTCCTTCATTTAGAGTCATCTCCCCCAGCCAGGATTTCCCGAGCGGCGCCCCGGCTGCCTCGACTGGAGCAATTGCACTTTGTCTGCAATTTGTCTTGTTTGTGAGTCTTAAAGGTTTGGTGTTCGGGGGAGATGTCGGAGGATCAATTAAGCCTCTGATATTACTTCCCATACGCGACGTCAGTAACAACGGGGTATGTGACTCTCTGTCACTCATCCGTAGGCTAATTGCCATTACAGGTACAAACATATTCCACCAGATTACTGTGCTGTCTAAACAAACTATAGGTGACCGTTAATAAGTTTACTCGGGATAATCCTCTAGGTTATCTGATCCATCGTGTCAATACAGCGAGAGCAGCTTATTTTGTTCTGCTGCTAAGACTCCTCGTCTTTTGAACTGCTTCTGGGAAGAGTTTTCTCTTTTTCTTTTTCTCCGGCATTGTTGTTGCCCATAATCAGCGCTGCCGTGCCTCAGGACAAAGTCCATCTCTCTCATCGCTGGCTGCTGCTCATCATTAATGCAGAAAATAATGGCTTCACCAGAGGTCATCGACGGAGGAACGAGGCCCGAGGACGTGTACTCTCCAAGCAAGAATGAGCAGCGCTGCAGGCTGTCGACTGAGTGCATTGTTTGTATGCACGCACACACACACACACACACACACACACACACACACACACACACACACACACACACACACACAGCTTAGGGCACTTGCACATACACGTAGCAGAAAAGTATTAATGTGAGCACACAACAGATTCTTTTTCTCTTGATCTGTCGTGCACATACAATAGGCAAAGAGTGTTTTCTCATAGTTGATATACAACATCCGGTCGTACTGTTTGGGTGCTTCCAGTCACAGGCAGATTTCACCTTTGAGGATCTACATTTTTGTCATTGTAATGTTCCACCCCGTGGCCATAATTGAGAGTGCGGCTCTCCTGGGATGTTTAAAAATGGTCCGCGCCGAATGTCCTCGGGTCCGAATGAAGGCAAAATCGCTTCAGGGGGTAGAAGGATTAGACTTGAGGATCCCCATGGAACCGAGGTTCCATTCCTTTTCCCGGCGTCCTCTCCTTCCGCCAGCAGAGCGCAGTGTTGCACAGAAACAGGCCTCCCCGTCAGGTGGCCTCCACTTTCATCCCACTCTTTCATCCCACAGATTGACAGCGGGCCTCCTCCAGCCCACAGCGAGCGGAATCCACGGGCCGCTGACGTGCCTCTGCGTGGCCCGCGCTTTGACACGCAGCCACAAACGCTCTCCGCGCGATTGAACCCATCGAGGGAGAGCCGTTTTGCTTAAAAATTGTCAGATGAAAAAAAAAAAGAAAAGAAAAGCAACATGGCGCGTGACCTCGAGCGGTGGCCAAGCTGTCAAAGTGTGTTGGGTCATAAAAGGCTACGGCTCTCACCACTGTCCCTTCCCCGCTCGTCACATGTCGACAGCTGCACACATGCACTATTTGTTTATTAGCAGGATGGGGTTCTTATGCCCTGTGGTGCTGCGCAGCATTATGGACCAAGGTCCAGGCACATTGGTGTGCTGGCTCACGTATCCACAAGCCATCGAAATCCGTTCTCTTTTAAAGTTCTGTTTGTACTCCAAGCTCTTGGGGTACATTTTAAATATCATTCTATTATCTCGTATCACACATCTCATCTTCCTCCTCAAATCTCGTTCCTCTCTCTCTCTGCACAGCACATTTGGATTTTCAACTGTTCTCTTTTTCTTGAACCCACCATCAACTCTGATCATCGTCACACAGAGCAACATGTATGGTTGAGTAACAGACACCACCGGCAGCTTCAGTAGGTCCAGTGAAAAGGTGCTGGAATACTAACGGTTCGTGCCGAGAGACTAAAGGCATGGTTTTGAGTTACGCCTCAAGAGTGCACCTGTCAGGGAGTTTGAGCGCATCCTCCTTTAATTGAAAGTAGACACCATTGGGCCAGAAGGAGAGAAACCCAGAGAACAGGAGAGAGAGAGAGAGGGAGAAAGGGGAGCAGACAGAGCAAAAATAAACAATTCCCAGGGTGCTGCGGGCCAAAAGCAAAGGGCCCCGGGGCTCCGTGGCCTCTCGGGGCCGTGGCAGAAGCCAGTCACACACATCACGTAGCATTACGCGGGATGGGGTTACAGGAAAATGTCAGCCGACGCATAAGGAGGAACCATCAGCCCATAGGATAATTCGATTGCCTGAGGGAGGTGCAATTTGGCATCCCCAGATTTCCTCTCTTTCCACCCACGCCCTCTTTTCATTGTATTTGTGAATCCATTTGTCCCTTTTCAGTTATTTAATGTTTCCAATCCTGTTGTATATTTACGCATGTACTCGTAAATGGAGGTTGTACCGGGCTGTGCAGTGTGTGTGTGTGTGTGTGTGTGTGTGTGTGTGTGTGTGTGTGTGTGTGTGTGTGTGTGGGGTTCTGGGCCTGTGGTTTCTAGCTCAGCCTCTGATATCTTGAGTTACGTCCTGATCCTCCCCCCCCCCCCCCACTACTTGTCCTCCTCCACTCTCACAGTGTTTACCGGTCATGGAAGCAATCATGTCCCCCCCAATGTCTCGCTCTCGTAGCAGATGTGATCAAGACGCAGCGACGTGAAATGAGTCACCGTGCAGCCAAAAAGATGCGCCGCTTTAAATCATCACTCGTGACACAAACGCGGTGGCACCTTGCTGCTGCGTGCCGCCGGGAGCACGGAAAGCGCTCGCTGCAGCCAAGGCGGGCGAGCGTTGGACGAAGACGGAGGCAGCAGGAAGAGAAAAGAGCCGGCGAGAGAGTTCAGAGCAGATATGTGAGTGCGTCTGACAGAGAGGACAGCCCTGCAGGCCGGTCCCAGCCCTCCAGCACCGAAAATGACACATGACTGCTTTGACTTTTGTCATCCACCCTCCCCCCCCTCCGCCTGAACCCAAGCCTCCAACAAACACTGAGGCCAGCATCCACACACACACTCCTCAAAGACACACAGTCACACACTGTATACTGCTTAGATTACATTATCTGTATCCCCGGGACACGAGGCTTCCTTGTTGGATGACATTTGGGCTTGTGCAGCACTAAGGTTACCTTTCTTTGCCCCCGAGTTAAAGATGCCTGTCTGCAGCATGCATTCGAAATGAAGGACAGGAAAAAAATCTGATGAGAAAGATTTCCAAAAGCACTTTGATCAGAGGCATCAACAGTCACGCACAAACTTGTTAAGCAGTATGTAAATTTGGGCTGATACTGAATAAAGTTGCCAGAATGGCATGAATCCATTGTGCTGCGATGATCAAAATAAAAGAGGGCTTCATATGCTGGAGGGCAAGAAAGTCACAGACATGAAGGTTTTTTTTTTTTTTTGCTACAAAGGGGTTGATGGGATGCAGAGAGGAGAGAAGGAGGGGAGGGAAATGAAAGATAGGGGAAAGCCTGGAAGGATCTCAATCTAAATTAGCCGAGTAGAAGGAAGACTGTGCCGAGTGAGACGTATAATTAAAACCAACGTGATGAAAACATCAGTACACATTCATTCCGATGATCGGAAGGTGTTTCAAAGCTAAAGTTAAATCTCTCCTATTGTCAAAGCACACACCGATCTCCCCATCTCCTCTTCTCTGGGCTTCCTCCCTCCCACTTCCTCTCTCTCTCGGTTTCTTTATCACTTCCTCGGCCTCTCTATTTCCCCCCTCTCCCCTCTGTCTGACACCCTGAGATGAATAGACGCTGTCACCAAGACCCTTGTAGCCTGTCAGCTTTTAAACAAACAGTTAGCAGAGGGTCAGCCTGGGAAAACTCCCAGGCGGAGGTGAGGTTATCAGCGTCAGCTCGTTACCTGCTGTCCAAACAAGAAGACCCACCCCGAGTACGACCCCACGCACCTGGCGGTGCCTCGTCGGCGCCGCACTGTGCGTTCCGCTGCTTTGGGTCGCTGGTCAGCAGCCGCAGCGCTGTCCTGCATGTTGTCCTCGACGCAGGATGAATGCATTCAATCTGGCAGGCCGAGGGAGTGACCGAATATGTGCGGCAGCCAGAGGGGAAGCCTTCAAACCGACGGCCCCTTCCCTCCGACAAACGTCCCCGCGCATTAAAATGCCCCTCAAAAAAACAGCCTGACCTTTGTGAGAGGAGAAAAAATTACAAATAAAACAGAGATAAAAACCTCCCCCCTCAGGTGTGTCCCCCCCCCCCCCCCTTCGCTCTTCCTCTCTGCACCTGCACCGGGTCTCTCAAGTCGGGCCTCCATGTGTCCCCCCACACAATGGAGACGGTGCGCCGCCCGCGGCGCCGCTCTCCAGCTGAGAGCCACCTCTCTCCAGAGGACGGGAGGGGGGGAAACCTGCCAGCGCTAACAACTGATGGTGGCAGATAAAGGAGCAGGGA